AGATTTCTATGTAGGTATTTCTCTATGTAAGTAAGCCACATTTGATCACATTTTAGCCACTTCTCGCCATCTTCGTATTACTCTATAAAAGCAAAATTATACATAACATAAGAAACGAACTTGAACTTTGGTCCATAGACAACGCTAGCAAAAAATTACAATTCGAAATTAAATTGAAAATAAAATGTTTAAACATTTTCGTTATTTTCAATTCTCTACTTTTATTACTAATGGGTGTAACCTTCGTACAACCCTTATCCAAGGATTTGGATCTTTTTTTCGCGTATCGTTTCATCCACGAACATGTGACAAATTACGGCCACATCTTTGAATTTCTGTACAGAACCACATACTTGCCGTTCAGTTACATTGGAACAGTGTTACTCTTCCAAATTTTTTATTATTTTCAACACGCAAACTTTCAAATGCAAATGACAATGGAAGTTTTTAGAAAGATAGGCGAATGGAGTGAAGATGACGAGAATCTAGTTGACAACTCCAAATACCAAACGGAAATAAATCGAAGACTCAAAATTTGTATTCAAAGAAGCCAAAATTTTATATGGTATTATAACTAATTTCAAATTATTAAACACCATTTTATTAATTTTAGTCTACATTGTGAGAAACTCAAAGAAATCAGCAAATTCATAGCCGGATTTGCGCTCTGTGGTTGCCTTATGGGAATTAGTGTCATCTTTTACTTGATTTCCGTAAGTACGAATAAAATTGAAAATATTTCGAGTGTCAATTTTTATTTAGGGAAATTTCATGTCTGAATATTATTTCCGCATGGGTGTAATTTCCGTATCTGGAATCACAACATTTGCAGCTACAATATGGGCTGGCCAGTCCACTGAATCAACAGTAAAAAACATTTTTTTTAAACACATCTATAATCAAATCATTTCAGATTGATGACTTGGTAACGTCTCTCAACGAAGTGGAATGGTACAATTTTAATCAATCAAATAAAAAAATGTATTTAATTTTTTTGACAAATAGCATGAAAGAACGTAAAATAAAATTCAGCGAAAACTATTCCTTCAACTATAAGTTAGGACTGGCCGTATGAGMCTTTTTGACGTAAAAATACAACACTAAAAATTATTTTTCAGATTGTTAGAGGAATTTATTCAGTCATATCGATTGTATTATAATATTTCAATTCAAAAATACTGTAACGAATTTATATTATAATTAATCACTACTTATTAGGTTTGCACCTTTGCAACGATTATTACCTAGGCTAATTATATTTTTTAATAACGATAATTTATACAACTATTTAGAGTCACGTGATCTTGTACGAAACAGACACATAATAAAATTGTTGGTGAAGATGAATAGTTGTATTATATTGAAGTGTTCAGTGACAACTGACACAAAATTATTTTTAATTATTATGCTCCGCAATTTTTTTTAATGTAGTAATTATTATAATTTCCTTTTGAAATTAATTGTTGTTTTTTAGCCAATCCTCTTTGCTCTCGTGATATTATTTAAAAACAAGCGCAAGAAATAACTAATAATAATAACTAAAGAAAAATCATCAAATCCATGAATTTTGAGAAACTCTTCTGTTTCATGGAAAAATCAATCAATCAAAAATGTAAAAAATTAAATGAGTCTTTTTTCAAAATGTTTCTCAATTAATGTAGATGACAACAAATTTATCAAAATTTAGTTTTGATAAAAGAGAACTGAGAAAATTACGTGTCAAATTTGTGTAGTGAAATTTTCAAGATGCGAATTTTTTTTATTTTACGAGATAGGCCCCTCATAATCAAGATGAAATTACGCTAATACTTCAAATAAGTTATTAGTGCAAAAATCATTTTGATAGGTGTAATTAAAAAATATACTTAAATCGAATTAATTTAATACAGGGTGCGTCAGAACTCGCGCCCCAGAAAAAAATGCCATATAAGGTAAGATCCCCGGAATATGGAAAAAATGTTAAAAAAATTATCTATAAAAATTTTGAAGTTATGAGGGTTTAAATTTTGCACTTTGACTATTTATTTCGCTTGGAAAAATAATTTTAAAAGTTTTTTTGCTATAGGCTATTAAAAGAGGAACCAAGAAAGTTGTATCCTAAATTGTAACTCTGTTCAATGTTATTTGTGGGTTTTATTGGCAAATTTTATTTTTTTTAAATAAATAATTGTAAAAAAAACATACAAAATCATCAGTATCATTAAATAGACATAAAAAAATGTCAAATGTAAAAAAAAAATTTGATAGAGAATTTTTTAAACATTTTTTCCGTGTTCCTTGGTATACCTTACTTGAAAATTTTCTCTGGGGCGCGAGTTTTGGCGCACCCTGTATAAACAATTCCTCGAAACACTCGATCTTCTTATTTTGTTACTCAACAAGAAATTACTTACATAAAAATACGCTTCATACATATGCGATTTATTTATTTTTTTTTATTAAAATTAAGATGTCCATTAATTTCATTGCATATTATTAAAATACGAGTTACGAATGCAGAAAGGATTTAAACAAGAACATGAAATTCTGATACAATCCGCGTAGCGGCGAGTTGAGCAACAAACGGTTGCTTGGACCGCCTTCTATAACGAGTGTTTAATAGTTATTTACCTAACGAGTTCGGAAAGGTAATTTTCCCGCATGAGCACTTTGTTAGCAGCACGACCACAGCAAGGAATAATAAAAATAAATAAATAAAATTGTAATGACGTTAAAAAAAATAAGAAGAGTAATTACGAGTTTTCCGATGTCTTTGCCAAACTCATTTCTTGTCGGTCATTAGTAAAACACTTCATTTTATCGATTATAAATGACTCTAAAAAAAACAAAAACAAAAAATTCAGTTTTATAAGTTGGGACAGAGGACCAGGAAAACTGAAAGTGAGTGACAAAATAAAACAGCTGATAGTTAAGCAATAGTGTCATTCAAAAATATCCATCCTTACAATAAATAATAACATTTTAAAATACTCTTTAACCTCAACCGTTCTTTGTGGATCGAGTATTAATACTAGATTTAAAATTTGAAAAATTTAAACGTAAAACAAACACAGTATTGGTGCCGCTATTTACATAATTACATTTAAACTTATTCAGTGCCTTTAAACTGTTTTCTAAAATAAATAAAGTGACACTACAATAAATATTATTCTTACAACGCTTAATAAATCTACAAAGCCATCGCGTCGTCCAAAAGGTTCGACAACTCCTTCAAATGCTGGGCTTTGCTTCCGGTGGCGGGGCTAGCGGCGGTGGGTCTCCCAACGTAACTAAAAAACATAATTCATTATTATACAAAATAACAAATTCACGAAACAAACTAGCGCAAGCAAAAACAATAATAATTATGGAGTATAAATAAAAAAGTACTATAACTGTGAAAAAAATGAATACCCGCCACTGGTCTGAATTTTCTCTTGTTACTATGACGATTTTTATTTTTGTTGCCATAGTTACAATAAGTTTCTATGGCAACTATTCAATTTGCCACCACAGCCGGCTCGTGTGGGACAGCAAAGGGATTTCAAACAATATTTAGTATTCAGTTTTTTTGTTATTATTGGAACTAGAGTTCTAGAGGCAAAATCAAGCCAAAAACAAAAATAACGTGAAGATACGACTGTGGCTCTCACCTAACGACTCTAGTCTCTGGTAAAGTTTCAGTTTCAGTCACTGGTTGAGGTTTTGGCTTTTTACCAAAAATTTTAGCGAACCAACCTTGGTTATCCGTACTGAAACAGTTAACTGAGCTAGAATCATATCTTCACTCGAAGAAAACCACCAAAAAAAACCATCAAAAACTCACATAACATCCCGGGAACCGGTCAAAGCCGTCTCGAACCGCGGCTGGACATAACTCCAAGAACCTTGGTTTTTGTGCTCTTCCTGGGCCCAACACAACTGTGCATTGGGGTATTTGGCACACTCGTTTTTAATCAAGTCGTAAGGGAACGGCGAAATCTGAAAAAAAATCATGAAAAACCGTAAAAAAAAACACAAAATTAGTACTTGTTCCACACGAGTGATGACAATATCGTTGTCCAATTTCCTCTCTTCGCGGGCTTTCCTCAAGTCATAATAAACTTTTCCGCTGCAGAAAAGCACCTTCTTGACATTTTGCGCATTTTGACTCGCTGGACTCTCATCCGGGATGATCCTCTTAAACTCAGTATTCTCCAACATCTCATCAAAACTGCTCCTAGCTTCCGGATGTCTCAACAAACTTTTCGGTGTCATCAAAATCAACGGTTTGCGGAAGGGCAAGGCGATTTGTCGTCGCAAAATATGGAAAAGATTCGCCGGTGTGGTGCAATTCGCCACAATCCAATTGATGTCGTGGAGTTGTCGAACGGCGAATTCGTCACTTTCGGGTGGGAAATAATCCGGGTCGTCGGAGGACATCTGGAGGAAGCGTTCGAGACGGGCGCTGGAGTGCTCCGGACCCATGCCTTCGAGACCATGAGGGAGGAGCATGACCAGACCGCTCTGACGCACCCATTTGGCTTGACCAGACGAGATGAATTGGTCGATAATGCATTGAGCTGTGTTGTTGAAATCGCCGAATTGGGCCTCCCAGATGACGAGGGCATTGGGGTTGGTCATGGAGTAGCCCAGCTCGAAGCCGAGGACGCCGAATTCCGATAAGGAACTGTTGCATACGGTGTAGGGGGCCTGGTCGGGGTACAAGTTGCACAAAGGCCTGAAAATCATCATATAAAATTTATTCAAATGGCCATTTGTAACGAGTCTTTTAGACAATATTTATACAGGTGCGCCAAAACTCGCGAAAAATGTCATATAAGGTAAGGTGCCAGGAACATGGAAAGTGTTTTATTTTATATCTAAAAATTCGAGAGAGTTTAAATTTTGCACTTTGACTATTTTTTTCTATTGACAATTTTTTTCATATAGCGACAAAAGTTTGCCCTAACTATTACAGCGACAAAACGGAACATAACTTTTGAAAGCGTCTGAATCTAGTAGGTCTGCATCATCGGATTTACGTATTCATTAAATTGTCTTACCGAATTACATTCAAGCTTTGTTTTTTTACGAAGAAAACTTGACATTTTTAATTCGAGTTTTGTTTCCTTTAGGCAATTTAACTCAAAAAACTGCCAGAAAAAATTACTCGTCCAGTTGGAGCCAAAATACTTTGGTCGTCACTTTTCTGACACTTTAATGTAATTCAAGCTTTAACGATTTCAAATTAATGACAGCTGTTTTCTTTTCTAAGCACACAATTATAACCTATTGGTCCTTTTTTTGTATTGCGGGTTTTTAGTCTTCATTATACATGTATGTATTTTCCCATCAAAAATATGTACAGTTACGGAATTCAAATTTCAGGCAGTATTTTTCTGTCACTTCAAAAAGTTCACTGTAAACTACCTTTTACTGTCATCATGACTGACATTTGACAATCAAAATTTTTTGTCAGTAACGCTATTCTATAAGTCAAAATGACATAAACATGACAAGAGTAAAAAATGAGGTTATTAATGTAAAGGTTGTTTTAGAGTTTACATTGTGAAAATGACAATACTGCCCGAAATTTTTATTCCGCAACTGTACATACAACTTGTCAACTATGATTGACAGTAGCTAAAAATAAGGTTAATTAACAGTCCTAAAGCATGCTTTACAATTTAATGTCACTCAAGTCACATTGACGACCAAAGTATTTTGTCTCCAACTGTCATACGGACTCGTAATATTTTCAGAAGCAGTTTTTTTCGTTAAATTGCCAGAAAACAAAATTCTCATTAAAATGTCAAGTTTACTTCGAAAAAAAGGCTCTCGTGTAATTATAAGTGAAAAAATAATTTTCCAAGTTTTTTCGCTACAGGCTATTAGGCTATTAGGAGAGGAAACAAGGATCTGTATCCTAAATTGAAACTCTGTTCAATGTTGTTTGTGTCTTTTAGTGTCAAAATGTCAACATTTTTTTGACAAATAGAAATTAATTTCTTAAACAATTTTTGCATGTTCCTTGAAATTTTTAGCTGGGGCGCACCCTGTATTTTGCGCTTTTTGTAAAATTTTGAAGAAAAAAAGAAAACAGTTTAAATTTAGGGAATTTAAACTGACATGTCATTGTGCGTAACCTGGAAATGAATTCTTAAGATTTCTTCAAGTACGCTACCGGAAATTATTGTTACCAACATTGAAAACATAAAATACACTAGGTTGTTAACGCACCCAAACTAGTGCGTTAATGGCGCTGTTAGAAACGTAAAATATAAAAAATACATTAAAATTTATGATCTCTGCCATTACAGAACAGTAATTATGTCAGTCATTACTGAAACAATTAATTTTTTATCAACCACAATTAACCCCATTCTCCAAACCAAAAAACTCAATTTGATCTGAGACGTAATACATATAAAATGGAATTCGAAGTGAAAACATTTATGACAAGTTTGTTTCCTAAATAACCAAATTTCTTTGATTTATTGACAAAATTCTTTAATTTTCTAGATGATTATCTCAAAATAGTGAAATTTTTGGCAACTGATATTTTTCAATTCAAACCTATTAAATTTCTTCTTGTGCTGGTCCTCGCCTTGGATATATTTATGGAAATAATAACTGTCTATTTCATGATAATTACTCTTGATATGAAATTTGTTTTTAATTATGTTCCGCAATTTTTTCTAGAATTCTATGTATTGCTGAGGTAATCTTAATTTTTTCTTGAAATAAATTTTTGCTTTTTAGCCCATCGTCTCTGGTCTCATGATAATATTTAAAAACAAGCTAGTGCATAATTTACAAAATGAGCTAAAAGTATGGACCATAGATAATGCTGGTGAAAAAATACATTTCAAAATTAAGATGCAAATAAAGCTTGTAACATATTTCATTATTTTTAATACTTTACTCGTGGTCTCGATGTGTTCAGCGATTATGTATCCACTATCAAGAGATTTGAATTTATTTTTTGGACATTATCTCATCCACAAATATTTTCCGAACCAGAGTTGTACTCTTGATTTTTTTTACAGAGCAACAAGTTTTGTACGTGGTCATCTTATAATTGTACCTACGTATCAAAGTTTGTATTTCACTCAACATATCAATTATCAAATACAAATGCAAGTGGAATTTATAAAACGACTAGACGACTGGGAAGCAATTTCTCAAAACGAAGAAAACCTATTTTACAATTCCTCTTATCAAGCGATAATAAATCAAAGACTCAAGTTTTTAATTAAAAGAAGTCAAGAGTTGTTAAAGTGAGTTCTATTATTGGCTAATTTACAAATTATTGCCACTATATTTTTAGTTTATATACTAAAAAAGTCAAAGAAATGCAAATAATAGTAGTTGCATTTACTTTTTGTACTATTTTTATAGGTATCGGTGTTATTTTTTTCATTGTATCGGTAAGCACAAATATAAAATGAGTCTGAATGATAGTATTTTTTAAACAGGAAAATTTCACATCAGAGTGTTATTTTCGTATGACTTTAACTTTTCTTGTTGGAATCACTACATTCATGGCTGCTGTATGGACCGGTCAATCATTGGAAACAAATGTAATAAAGTGTAATAAATTTGATTTAATTCCAGTCACTAAAAATTCTTTCAGTGGAACGAAATTACTATGGTTCTCAAAGAAGTAAAATGGTATAATTTCAATCAATGTAATAAGAAACTATATTTAATTTTTTTAACAAATATGACAAAAGAATACAAAATACAACTCACCGAAAATTATTCCATGAATTATCAACTAGGACTAGCTGTAAGCTAAATTACCAAGCTTACATATATTGACCTTTTTTTTTCAGATTGTTAGAGGAGTTTATTCAGTCATATCGGTTGTACTAAATATGCATGAATGAAAGAAAAAAAAAAATAAATTACATAATTCTGGAATAACAGAAGCCATCTTATTTCAGCTTCACTAAATGCACACTTAACTATAACTATAACTGCATCACAAAACACAAGATTATATTATTATACACATTCAATAATAAATACTGCAATAAAATTTTTCGAAAAATCCATTAAAACTTATTCAAATGATCTCTGCGATTACAAAACAGTAAATATTAAAAGTTTTACTGAACTCATTTCTTGTCGGTGATTAAATTTTCACCGACTATAATTAACCTATTTATCAAAACTAAAAATTCAGTTTGATCTGAGACGTAGTACAAAATGGAGTACGAAATTAAAGCATTTATGACAAGTTTATATCTTATCAAACGAATTTCCTTCATTGAAAATTTTTTTCAGATGATTACCTCAAAATAGTGAAATTTTTCGGATATGATATTTTTCAACCAAAACCTATTAAAATTCTTCTAGTTTTGGTCCTCACCGTACATGTTTTTGTGCAAATTTTAACAGTCTACTTCATGGTAACTGCCTTTGATACAAAATTCCTTACTAATTATGCTCCGCAAAATTTTTAAGTTTTTTCTTGGCTACATTATGAGTGCCCCCACGTACAACTTTTTTTATTACACTCAACACATCAGTTATCAAATACAAATGAAAGCGGAATTTATAAAACGGCTAGACGACTAGGAAGCAATTTCTCAAAACGAAGAAAACTTGATTTACAATTCCACTTATCAAACGATAATAAATCAAAGACTAAAGTTTTTAATTAAAAGAGGTCAGGAGTTGATATAGTGAGTTCTATTACTAACTTTCAAATTTCTGCCATTATGATATTTATTTTTTAACATTTGACACAAAACAAAAAAATTCAGAGTAGAGTACGAACTAATAGTCTAGCTCAGTATCAAAATTTCATTTCACCAAAACAAAATAGATTTAATTGATTTCAAATTAACAAATAATTATGCAGGAAAAACAAAGCTAAAATTTTCTTTTACACTCATTAGTAGTCATTAACAATTTTAATTAATCATTAATTGAATCGTTATCGAATTTACTGTATAGACAAATACGTCAAACGAGATGAATTCCCTCTATTCAAAAACAACCTATAGATCAGTATACACAATAAAAATTTCACATTTACTGTAAAGTATTTATAAAATAATATCATAAAATGTATGTATGTGTATTTAATGTAAATTTATAACTAGTAAGATAAATAGAGTTTTTTAAACTATAAAACTCGTGTTGTCTTCAAGATTTTTTGCAACACTAATATTTAATCAAAAATTTAACTAAATTCAGAAATTATTATAAAGAAGTATGTCAAAATTGACAAAAAATATGCATCAGAATATTTTATAGACTCATAAGATACGTTGCTATTGACGACGTACTTTATAGATGAAGCGTAACACAGAAACAGTATAAGGTATTTAGTGTTGCAAAAATGTTATTTATTTTATCTTTAAAACGGATACAAATTTTCACATTTGGCCAACTTGATATTTTTATAAATACAAAATACTGTTAAAAATTAGTGAATAAATCATTCATCAATGACATTAATTTTAGTAGTCACATGGAAAAAATGTTTATTAGCAATGATCATGCACAAGAAAATTCTAGGTGGGTTAATTTTATTATTCTGATCGAGTATTTATTATTAATAAAGTGAAATCATAAAATATA